CCAGAATCAAACTTAGGACTTTGCACTTGCCAGACAGGCATTTATGCTGCTGAGTTATCTCCCTGGCCTTATACATCTTATTCTTAATATACCATTCAGTTAAAGGTTAATGTGGCATAAAACAGTGGTTCACTGAAAAATGATTTTTTTTAGTTTCATTTAACTGTTGTTTGTTATACAATGTGTCTGACCATTTTGATAGTAGGGTTTTACTATAATTTTTTAAAACTCTAAACTTTTTTTTAAAAAAAGTTGCATTTCAATGAAGACATAATACCTAGCTCCAAATCCTTTTTTTAAAAAAAGACTTAAAATACTATCCTTCATCCTTCTTACCCTCATTTACAATATTGACCAAGAATTTAAACATAGTAATTGAGAGGAAGAAACTTTGAGACGGGATTCATGGACTTTATTCTTTTGTCTCCTTTTTTACTTTTCAGAATTAAGCTGTCTGCTGGGACCTCTGGGGAAAATGCCATTAATGCATTGCAGCGGTTACACTTGATTGTGCTCACACTAGTAAAGCAAACTTCTGGGTGTTTGAGTGTGTCATGGAAGTGTGACCTTGAGTACTACGTCTGGCTCCTGGTCTCTTTCTAGTACTGTTCCCCTACTCTGTTTCCTTACTCTCTTCCTGGCCACTGTGAGCTAAGCAATTCTGTTCCACTGTGATCTTTCACCATGTTTCTTGGAGCCAGCCAGCCATGGACTGACTCCCCTGAAACTGAGCTAAATTAAACCTGTCCTCCTTGGAGTTGTGAGTGTCAGGTATTGTTTCACAGTGACAGGAAAATGACTAGTACAAACAGTAATGATTTTGTCAAGTTAATCTGTTAATTTCCTGGGCAGAGTTTTTATACACTCTGTATTGAGAGGTAACAGTGTAATGGTAGTCCAACAAGAAATCAAAACTACTAACAATGATGTGAGTATTGGGCAATTGGACCTGCCTCTCAAGGAGAAAAATTTTATAACCATCTCAGGGCAGTGATCATGTAAGAACCATGCTAGATATAATAGTAATTTGCCAGGAACAAAGTATATTGTCAATATGTGTAGCTTTGAAAAATGTTATGTTCCAAACAACAAAACATTAGTTCCTCAAGAGGGCAAATATGTACTGAAGTCCCACATAATATTGAATACCTGTTAATCTAGTCTTTATGATGAGGATATGCCATTCCTCTCAATGTAGCATCCTACAATGTGTTGGAGCCAGCTAAACTATTAAAATAAATATCTCACAGAATAGAGTGGGGAAAGAAAAGCAAGCTAGCTAGTTGACTGGTGAGGCATGAATTCTTTTCTATACATGCGATCCTGGTGTTACAATGTAAATGGTCTGAGAAAGTGTGTTCGGGTCTCATGCATAAATAAATTACAGAAGTAAAATACTGTAGAATCTTTAGGTACTGTCTTTATTAAATAATATAGGAGCAGCTCCACAGTCTTCCAAAAACCTATTAATTGTCTAAACATAAGTGGGAATGAGATAAAATATTTTAGGATGCTGTCCTCTGTATCCATATGTTATCAAATGCTGACCTTGGGCATCTGTTTGAGAGTCTAACACATTAACTAATTCTTGTAAGAAGAAAAAAGCTGTCAGCCCTTGAAGTCTTTTCTCTTTTATAACTTTATTTTCATTAACATATTGGTAAATGTAAGGTTAGGGAATATTGACATTTTGGTGTCATAGTTGGTACAACCAAGGACTATCCTTTGTGTGTGTGTGTGTGTGTGTGTGTGTGTGTGTGTGTGTGTGGAACTGGGGATTGAACTCAGGTCCTTGAGCTTGCCAGGCAAGCGTTTATTTTACTGAGCTATCTCCCCAACCCTCAGTTATCCTGATAAAGTCATTTTTTAACTTCTTTTTTAAGGGGGGTGGGGGAAGATATGAAATTATAGTCCTACATAGCTATAGAAGCAATTTGGTCTAACCACATTTCTGATGATTTTTGGTAGGAATCCTCCAGCCCAGTATATGAGGTCATATGTGGAGAAAAGATATAACTTAAACATCCCACAAGCTATCCTGTTTACTTGTCTAATACTCTCCTCTCTTGAGATTAGGCAGGCATTTTACCTTGTAGGAATCACAGTTTCTTTTCTAAGTGGACTGCTTAAATTAGACTGGATGAGCCGAAGAAGATAAGGGCATTTCCTACATGACTGACATGGATTATATATGTTAGAGAGGACAAAGTAACTTTTGTGGACAGATCTGGAACTATGCTATTTGGGCAGCTTTTATATACTTTCCAGTAGTAATAGTTTTTTGGTTTGGGGTGTGTGTGTGTGTGTGTGTGTGTGTGTGTGTGTGTGTGTTTAATCATTTCCATTTAACAGAGCAAGAAAGGACTCATTCTGAATTTTGTGTTTTGTTGGGGTTTTTTTGTTTGTTTGTTTGTTTGTTTGTTTGTTTTTTGTGGAACCGGGGATTGAACTCAGGCCCTTGCACTTGCCAGGCAAGCTCTGCCCTTATTCTACTGCACCATCTTCTCGGCCCTCATTCTGAATTTTGCATAGGATGTTTCATCATAGAAACAATCAATATTCCATTATTATTTATGTTGGATTTTGAAATATTCCAGCATGTAAGAATACTGTTGCATTGTTTATTAAATCTATTAGCACTTTACCATAAAATGCATTAAATTGGTTTGAAATTCCTTTTTGATTAGGAACCTAAAACAATTTAATATAAGTAATGGTAGTAAGCTAGTGATCATTCTAAATTCTATTTTAACATAAGGAATATGACCTTTCTATTCAGGTCATTTATCACATTGTTGGTAGTCACACATCTTCATTCTAATTTTCAATCCAAAATGGGTACTTGATCACTTAAAATATCTTTCAGTCTTGAAGCGTATGTGTAACATTTTGTGATAGCTGCCACCAATACAAACACAAAGGGGATGAAAATAAATTGCACAAACACATTTTGAAAATCTCCAAGAAGTGTTTGTTTGTTTGTTTGTTTGTTTAATCAGTGTGTCTCTAAATATAAAGAAGATCATGCCTAGAAAAGAAAATCATAGAGGGATGTGTTACTTGGAGTATTGGGGGGGTGATATAAAACCATGATGAGATGGTTTTATCACTGCTCTACACAGTATGTATACATTTACTGGAATATTGCCTTTAAAGACTACATTTTGCAGTTCTTTTTAAATTTTTAAACCTTGCACAGTGATTGTACATTAGAGATCAGAAATAAAATACAAGTCGTGTTGAGATTGCTGTTTGTGAAAAAAAATTCCCCCACCTTTAAACCTACTTGAATGAGACACTCTCTCCTTCGGTGACTGACTGCATTGTTATTGCCTGTCTAGGCAGGAAATTTCATTGCAGAACTGGTATGATGAGCCTGCTCACTAGGGGTCCCAGAGGACCGAGGAGCCTTCCACAGCAGCACTCTAATGTTAACTATTGTCCTTATAAGAAGTTACGTGCTTTTTAAGTGTACAATTGACTCACTTTTCTCTAGTTTGTTTAGCTAATTCCAATTTCTGTATTACAAGATACTCTGTGAGCCTAAACTCTGATCTCTCTTTTTTTGCGGAACCGGGGATTGAACTCCAGCCCTTGCGCTGGCCAGTGAAGCACTTATTCCGCTGACCCATATCCCAAGCCCCCCGCTTTTTTTTTTTTTTTTTTGCTTATCTCTTTAAACTAAAGTATGTTTTCTGTGGGGTCCGTGAAGTAATCAGTGTCACTGTCAAAAGAGATACTAGACCTTGTTTCTTTTGACTGGAAGATTATTGAGCTTCTTACTCATCCGGTGAGTCTGAGGTATCCTGATGAAAGAAATGCCAAGCTGGTGACATGAGGCAGGGGTAGACCTTGTCTCTTGAGCCTTGGAAACACTGAAAATGGTCAGCATCCTGGCTGTGGTGCGCAGCCACCAACAGCTGCTGTGCATCAAGCACACGGTGCTCTGGCTGTGATGTAAGAACCTGGCCCAGTTCTCTTCCTAGACGCCAGCTGTGACCCACCACTATGGTCCTGGCCAAGGGACTGTCCCAAGAGCTGTCAGGTGAAATTCTGGAGCAGAAATCATTAGATAATTTACTTGCAAAGGAAGTCCAAGGAGTAGTTATTCAACCAGGGTAAAGAGAACTGAAAAGAAATTTAGGGCAGGTGTGTTATTTAAGAAAAAACACAGTAGTGTGACAGCTGAAAGAATTTCAGTCTTTGGCTGTGAGTCAGGTACTTGGAGTTATATAAGGATTTATCAGTCACTGTTTAAAAAAATATCAGATATCTTGTATGAAATGAGTGAAGAAAGCTAACCAGGATGAGGCAGATTTAGTAATTAATTCTGTCATCACATCTCTTGGCCAAGAAAAACATGTGCCTTCTCCAGAGCCAGAGTTTTTCTTCTGTACCAAGAAGTGAAAGAACACACAATATATATGTAGTATAGCCTTTCAGAAGAGCAATTTTTACTAGCAGTTTTCTTGTGACTTCTAAAAAAAGTGAAAAGAGAAAATGGGAGGTAACAAATCATTCTCTATCAGAAATAACATCTCTCTAAAAACAAGGTGGTCCTGTGTTCAGTCCCCGGCTGAAGCACAGAATTCTTGGTCTGGTGTCCATGCACTAAACCAGCATTGAATGTGACAGTATAGGATTTTTTTTTTTTTTCTTTTTTTTGGGCGGTGATTGGGAGGGTGGCACTGGCTTAGGCTGCCTTAAGGGAGGGTCTGGTAAGGCATGTGGAGCTGGGGATCAAACCGCGGTCCCCTGCACCTGACTGGGTTTGCCCAAGCAGTAGTTTAAACAACTGTGCTAACCCACAAGCCCAGGGTCTGACAGTATAAATGTACAACATAATGTGAGCTGTTTTTCTTTATTACACTGAAGGTGTCAGTAGTGATTAGAGAAGCTTCAGTCTTTGTTTAGTTTTCTTTCAATTAGAGGAGGCATAAAAATATGTAAATTACTCATTTCAGATTGACCTTGACTTTCCTTATTTTTTTTCATCTCAGATTATCCAGCCCCTCTTAGACCTTGACCAAAATAGAAGCAAGTTAAAGTTGTATATTGGACACTTGACAGCCCTCTGCCATGACCGAGACCCCCTCATCCTTCGTGGACTCACTCCACCAGCTTCCTACAACTTGGATGATGACCAGGCAGCTTGGGAGAATGAGCTGCAGAAGATGACCCAAGAGCAGGTCAGCCTCTCACTTGAGCTTTAACAAGAACCTACCAAGGACAACTGCGGTTTGGGTTCATACATGGGAGCTGTGTCTGGAAGTACAGTGTTCAGATTCAAGATACTTTTCAGGGAAGGAGGTGGTTCCAGATACCATTTTTCAGTTGATTTTTTTCAATGCTGGGAATTGGACATAGCCTTGCACATGCTGAGCAAGCTCCCTACCACTAAGCTGTATGCCCCTAAATTTATTTTTAAACTAATAAAAATGATATTTACCATATACAAGAGTCATCTTGATGGCTCCATCTTAAATGGATCTATTATATACATTGCTTCACATACTTTTTTGTGATGAGAACACTGAAAACCTCTCTTAACCTTGTTCTCATGAATATAAGACATTGTTATTAACCAGAGCTTGTTGTATAATAGATTTCTTGAATATACCTCCTATATAATGGAAATCTTGAATCTTTTTTTTGTTTGTTTTTAGGGAAGGGTCTACAGGATGTTCAGGGTCTCACTACTAGATCGGACTCGTAGTGATCCACCTGTGTACAGCCTGAAATTTTGAATCTTTTTACCAGCATTTTCCCATCCCACACCACCAACCCTACCCTTGGTAACCACGACTGTTTTCCTCAACTCAGGCTTATTAGCCATCAGAAGACTTCAACAAATGTTCCATGTAACCTTCTGAAGGAAGTGTTACTTCATTCTTCTCAGTAATCTGCTCATATATCACAAAGAACTACTTCAGGAAGAAAAGTTAAGAACAGTCTATTAACCTGCCATAGGTTATCACATAGAAGTCCAGGGCAGAGGTTATTTAAATAAGGGATATTTAATAAGTCAGTAGCATGGATCTTCATTTGTCTTTGGGTAACAGTGTATTATAACAAACTATTAAGATTTTGAATAAAAGAACTATTAATCCTTTAATCCCAGCACTTGGGAGGCTAAGGTAGGAGGGTTTGCTGTGAGTTTGAGGCCAGCCTGAACTGCATAGTAAAATCCTGTCTCAATAAGACCAAACAAAAAGAACTATTAAAAAAAAAAAAAGAACTATTAATTAGTTTTTATTTACCTGCCTTATAATAGAGTACCATAATCTAGGTAGCTTAATAAACAACAGAAATTTATTCTGACAGTACTGGAGGCTAGAAATCCCATATACAGCAATAAAAAATTGAGGTAAATAATCTTTTTTTTTTTTTTTTTTTTTGCGGTACTGTGGATTGAACTCAGGACCTTGCGCTTGCCAAGCAAGCACTTACTCTACTTAGCTGTCTCCCCAGCCTGAGGTTTCCTTTGCTTCTGTCAAGTCATAAGCACTGAGAGTTGCATTGCAAAGTCTCTAATTGAGCTGGGTTTGGGTTCATTCTTAGCATAGTCTGATTACACCATCTCCTCATTCAGAGGCTTTAGATGTTCTGTTATCACGTCTTTTTTTTTTTAATTTTATTTATTTGTGTGTGTGTGTGTGTGTGTGTGTGGCCAGCTCAGCCCACCAGGGGGCGGCTGGCTGGCATGTGGTGCTGGGGGATTGAACCGTGGTCCCTGGGCTTTGCTAAGCTTGTTCTAAGTAGGTGCTTTAGACCACTGAGCCATCTCACCAGCCCCTCACATGTCTTTTTAAATTGAGTTATTTTTTAACTGATATATAAGTCCATAAAAATTATACATACTGATGGAGTACCATATGATATTTCAGTATAGGTATGCACTGTGTAGTGTTTAAAGTTAAACATATATTTCTTCTTAAACAACTATCATGATGATGAAAACATTCCAAATCCTTTCTTCTAGCATCTTAATTGTATAGTACATGTGCTGAATATGACTTCTAAAATGCCAGGGCCAGGGAGATGGCTCAGTAGAATAAGCACTTCCCTGGCAAGCGCAAGGGCATGAGTTCAGTCCCCAGTTCCACAAAAAATATTTTTTTTTTACAGGCTGGGGAGATAGCTCAGCAGCATAAGTGCCTGCCTGGCAAGCACAAGGTCCTGAGTTCAATCCCCAGTACCACCAAAAAAA